TCGTTACGTTCGCCCTCGTTGCGTATTTCTTGGGACGCCTACGTCTGTTGTTAGCTTTGATGAACTCGCTATAACCGGCGCATTGGGAAAACGACGGGGGGCAAGACATTAAGTCTCGATTCGCGTTCATGGCTGTTTGGAATTTCGTGAACACACGCGGCGGCTCGGGTAGCAAAGTAATTATGGGAGTGTATCGGGGACATCTACGGATGGCTGGAAATTCAGATGGGAACCGCTCGGGCCGTCTCTAATTGCGACAGATCGCCAATGATTATTACGATCAGCGAACCAATATAAGTGATAAAAGTGACGCAGGTGTTAAATACCGCCGAATATGTGTATTATATTGTTGTGAAGGTGATTGGTTTGTTTAGCCGTGAATCCTGTCGATTTTTTTACAGTTTCTAAGACCTAATTAAATTCTTTGTGTTTCTTTTGTATTGATTCTTACCCCGTATTTCGGTGAGATCATTTGCCGAAGTGCGTTTTCTCGGCATGTTGTGCTCTGTTAGACCGACCAGCTTTATTTCGGGGCGATTACTCACGCTCTCCATAGCACACAACAATAAGCATTATCTTGGTAAGCTAAAGACTGCCGATTAGACTACGACGGTCTCTTTTAGTGATTGTATGTCCGGATGCTGAATAACTATTCTTATTATTACCATGCTTTATTGCATGTATCAAGAGTAGATGATAAAGAACGATAATGTTATAGCTGTCTTATCTACCTTGATTATATTCAAATAAAAACTACTTTACCGGGAAGACAGACTCTTTTTCATGGAAAAAATGGAGTCAACACTTTGTGGTACTAACCAGTCGCAGAAGATTTAAAGAGTCAGCAGTAGCAACATAGATTGGAGCTGCACATACATATATGATGTCGTTGTGTCAGCGGCATTCCCGTCGGCTGTGGCAATAAACGTTACAGTATATCGGTGTTACGAACTAGATTATCCGAACATAGTGGAGGGTTTTTGCGTTAGTAACGCAAACAATTTTCTCTGCTCTGTAGTTCCCGACCATTAGTTTGTACCAGCGGTGAGGATGGCGGCGGCGGTGGTAGTTATGGTGTGTACTCGTGTCGCGAATTGGGGGGTCGGTGAAGTTGAAATCCTGTCTGCCGGGTATAGTCAAAGTGAATGACATATACGCGTAAAGTGCCTGAATCTGTCAACGTTGAAGACTGTCTCTCTTTATCGTTAAGTGAAATGACCGGTCGTCACTGCTCGCGATACAACAGACTGTAGAGTTAATCAAGTATTCGAGAGCCGGCGCATTAAGAGAACAAGTCTGATCGAAATGTAATAATGGTAGAGTGTCGTGTAAGTCATGGGACACTGCTAACAAAGCGGTGCATGAACTTGTGATCCATTAGCGTGCACTGAATTGCCCATTGCGTGCTAATGTTACCGAGCGGCTGTGTTGTGCCTCAATGTGCATTCCGGTCTGTTTTTGCATGCTGACTGTCTTGCAATCATCTGCGCTCGTGCTGCATACTGCTGTATACCTGCAGGATTAATTACTTTGATGTAATGTTATTGTTGCTTGTCGTCGTGGTGAAGTTAACGGCCCAGTGTGTAGCACTATACGTGTGCAACGCTTAAGAAAAAGCCACGATGTTCTTCGGCAAGCGAGGCGCGCCCAGGATATGACAGTAAATGCATTCGCGTGCTAGCGAACGTAGACAGGCCCGCTTCTTCACGGGGAGAAATAGCTCGGGCGTTCTAGCGGACATTTCGGCTCACGAGGCGAAGTGTGTAACACGATAACCCGCGCCTGTCTAATCTTAAGCGGAAAGGAGCATACACGTTTAAAACACCGAGGCAGCGGCCCGACGCATTTACCGTCTCATAATGATGTATTGAGTTCAGTTATAGGTGAAAAAATTTGCTGTTATCGTCATAGGGAACGGCGCTATATATCTTACATGGCCACTTTAGCCTTCATTCCGCCGCATGGACGAGTGGTCAAACGTCGTGACTTTAACTATGCCCGCGCCACGCACAGCCCTGACCGGGTAATTTCGCGTCGATATGACTTCGCTCTTCAACTTTGTTCAAGCGCGGCTTACGCGGAATGCAGCGCGCCGGTTGCTGCTTCGTACTGTATACTTCCTGAGTCGTCCAGTCTGAGGCATAACATGTGTCCCGCACATCAACGACACAGTGTTGTTGCGATGCGTAAAGCCTAGACGTTTTATCACTTCGCATGTCTAGGTGAAAAGTGTTATACCGCAGACAGTGCTGTTAAACTGTGCGACGAAAAAGTATAAGCCTTTAGTGACCGCGCTGTTATGGGTCGGTCGTTAGACTTCTTACGGGCAGAGGCAACGTCGCAATGATATAGTAGCATACAGGTAGTGGTGTGGGTGTGTGTGTGTGGACTGATGTGTGTCGTGTGTCGTGTGTCGTGGTTGTGTGGTGTGTAGTGTGGGTGTTCGTGAGTGGTGTTGGTGTTGTGTGTCTGTTGGGTCGGTGTGGTTGGGTATTGTGTGTTTGTGTGTAGTGGTGGTTGTGTGTGTGTGTGTGTGTGTGTGTGTGTTGGTGTGTGTGGAAACATTGTCAAACTACAAGGTGTAATTGTAGTGACAGCTGCCGCGACATTTCAGTGCACTTTGGAATGACCATAAAAATTGCAATAAAATTAAATGGATGTAGCCAACAGTTGCTTGTGCTGCTGTAGCCGCCCTTAATAGAGTCTCTGACAACCCGGACTTCGGTGCCAGGCTAGCCAGATTTTCATCTCTCAGCTGTGGTTTTGTTTGAGTCCAGACTGGGCTCCAATTCCAAAACAAACAAGCTTCCAATTCCATCATGGGCAGGACCACCATCACCAGACAGCTTCCATATTCATACTCACATAGGTTCTCCATATTCCAGCCCACTCAGGATTTTCATTCCAACTCACAGAGGGCCACTATACTAACTCAGACAAGATCTTTATTCCATCTTAACCATGGTATTTAATTCATCTTATACAGGGCGAGTGAATGTGATTACTGAATTCCACGTGTTAACTGCATGTTTAACGATTACCCGGCCAATCTCAACCGCGCTCAACAATCTATAGCATAACAGCTGCGAGCTGGCATTCATAGCAACATATCAGGAGTGTATAATAAAGACTCCTATTATGCACACAGTAATACTCTTATATATGATTACCTCCGCCAGGGGCTTGGCGGAGGTTATGTTTTCACCGGCGTGTGTTTGAGTGTTGGTTTTTGGGTTTGTTAACATGCACGTTTCAGTTCACTTCCGCTAGATCCGCTGGCTGTAGACTTACAAACACGCAACCACAGGCTAAGGGGCAACCACAGTCCTCCCCCACCTGCACGCTCGCACTAATCCGGATCCAATTAATTATTTAATTAATTAATAAAAAATTTCACATTGAGAGAATTCAGCTGCCTTGGCGGAGGTCTGTGCTCTCCGAGTGCTCTAGTTATTAGTCTATATTATACACCCCTAAACATATCGCGGTAATGCATAGTATAAAAATGGTCTAAGTTGCGCGTCTGTCTGTCTGTCCCGAGCACCGCAGTGTTCGCGGTACGAGCACATGTACGGGCGTGCTAGCTGACGTGCAGTATTTCCTGCAGCGTGTGGTCCAGATGAGGCTGTGAGGCAGGCCTGTGATGACAACAGCGGCCGCATGATGACAGCACCAGCAGTAGCTGCGGTGCAGATAAAGTAAGACGGCCGAGCAAGACGAATCACAGATGAACCGTGTAACGCGCGGCTTGTTAATAACGAAAAATGGAGTCAAACTTTGTGTGTCTAACAGTCGCAGAGGTTTAAAGAGTCAGCAGTAGCAACATAGAGCTGCACATACATATATATACTCGTGTGTGTCAGCGCATCCCGTCGGCTGTGCATAACGTTTACATATATGCCTTACGAACGAGATTTCGAATAGTGATTTTGCGCTTAGAAGCAATCAATTTTCTCCGTGTAGTTCCGCCATTATTTGTACAACGGTGATGGTGGCGGCGGCGGCGGCGGATGGGGACCGTGCATGGTGGCGGGGCGGGTGAACGTTGAATCGCGCCGAAGTCAAGTGAAGCCATACGCGTAAGGCGCTGAACTGTCACCTGAAATGTTCCCTTTATCTATTTTAGGTGAAAGTGACGCCGTCGCCCGCATGCAACGATTTGGTAAGTTAATCAAGTTATTCGAGAGCCGCTGTAAAACAAGCAGGAGTGTAATAATGTAGAGTGTCTATATTATGACACTCCTTAAACAAATGCGTGCATGAACTTGTGATCCATTTAGCGGTGGCACTGATTGCCCATCTTGCTATGTATCAGCGCTGTGTGTCCCTCAATGTGTGTCGGTCTGTTTATCTGACTGTCTTGCAATCAGTTCTCGCTCGTCTGCATGACTGTCTGTCTACCTGCCGGATTACTTACTTTGATGTATGTTATTGTCGCTGTCCGTGGTAATAACCCGATTTGTTAGCACGATACGCACGCTTAAGAAAAAGCCACGAGTGTTCTCCAAGCGAGGGCGCCAGGTATAGCGTACATGCACGCGTGCTAGCGAACTAGGACAGACGCACTCTCACGAATGCTCGCGTTCCATAATTTCGGCCTGCCACGGAGCAAGTGTGTAACATCGATTACCGCGCCTTCAGATCTTAGCGGAAACGGAGCATACGGTTTAAAACACCGATGGCAGCCCTGACATTTACAGCATAATGATGTATTGAGTCAGTTATAGTTGAAAAAAATGTTGTGTTGTCGTTCATGGAACGCGCATATATATCTTTATGGCCACTTTAGCCAATTTCATTCCGCGCCCGAGAGTGGCAACGGTCGGTGAGCTGTTTCACTATTGCCGCGCCACCACATAATTCGCTCATGACTCTTTCACTTGTCACGGGCTTGCCGCAGTGCGCGCCCTTGCTGCTCCTACTGTTACTCCTGTCGCAGCTGCATAACATGTGTCCCGCACATCAACAACATGTTTGTTGCATCGTAAAGTCTAGACGTTTTATCACTCATTCTTGAAAATGTTTACCGCAGACATCTGTTGACTGTGACGAACAGGTATAGAGCTTTAGTGACCGTTGGTATGGTGTGGAGATTTACGCAGAGGCAGTCCAATATATATATACAGTGTGTGTGTGTGTGTGTGTGTGTGTGTGTGTGTGTGTGTGTGTGTGTGTGTGTGTGTGTGTGTGTGTTAATGAATACTTAACGCTTGTAAAAGGCGTGGTCGATGATCGAGCCTGTTACAGCGCGTATGCACGCCGACGGACGGACGACGCGCCGACTTGCGCGGGCCGGGGGTTTGTGCGTGTCAGAGTGGGGAGTCAGTACGCAGCGTGGTACAGGTATAGCGGACGGACGGACGGCGCGCGGAGTTTGAGCGGCCGGGGTTTTGTGCGTGTCGGCTTAGCAGTGGTAGAGTCATTACAGCCGGTGTATGGTGGGATACATCGTCGGCCGCCCTCGTTAGCAACCATACTTGCCGAGGCGGCAGGCGGCCTACTTAATTTATGCTGATTGCGTTAAGACGTTTTCCACACACAGTGATGGGAAGCAGGAGAGTGAGGCTACGGTGAGATGATATGCACGCATTTTCTCAGTCTCTCGCGTTTCTATCTACGCTACTCCGTGCGCACGGTGCGCACGGACGGTCGCACTGCATTGCACGCGCACGCACGACGACGCACGCAGGGAGGCCGCACGCAGGTAGGCAGGCACGCGCGCTACGCGGCAGGCACGCGCGCACGCACGCACGCAGGGAGGACGCGCACGCGGTGTAGGCAGGCACGCACGAGGACGCACGCACGCAGGCAGGCACGCACACACGCGTTAATTTAGTATATATATATTGGCGGCGCTGATTTAATGGCGGGTTGGTCTCTAATGGTCCAGTACGCCTTGCGAATAGCGATTTCTTCAGCTTTGAGACGTCTTTCTCTCGGCAAAACGAAAGAACGGGGGGGGAAAATTTGTGTGTTTAGGTGGCGCTCGTCAATACGCTCCACCCGCGGCCGTCGCGTGACCGTTACTGCTCGTAAGTTGTTAAGCTGTTCGAATCGCAACGCGCGATACTTGCGTAAGCCCCTTTCGACATCGCGAATGGTCGCTTACGAGAGAGAAAGAGAGGGGGGAGGAGAGAGAGAGAGAGGGGGAGAGCGAGAGAGCGCGAGAGGAGAGAGAAGGGGGAAGGGGAGGAAGAGAGAAGAGGAGAAGGGGAGAGGAAGGAGAAGAGGGAGAGAGGAGAGAGAGGAGAGAGAGGGAGAGCGAGAGGGGAGAGAGAGGAGGAAGAGAGGGAGAGTAGAGAGGGAGATAGAGGAGGGAGCGCCGTTGGCCGTGTATTTGCTTTGATACCTCTGTTTTGTGTCAGACGTGCTTTTTACATCGTTGTACGTGTATATGACCGCTGCGCCGTGCTCCCTTCTTCGTGCATGTGTACTACGCAGTTTTTGCCGTCTGAACTCTCTACCTTCGTTAGCTTCGTGCTTGTCTACGGTGATGCTAAACTTGCTTCCCGAGTTGTAGCATTCAGAGTAAGGTTTGCACAGCGCACTGTGTTAGAGTGTTTGGCTTGTTGACTGTCCGCTGCGCGACGTGCCGACGTGGCGGGCGCGTCTGGTGTGATCGGCGCTGAGACGTGGATTGCGACGTGGGGTGCCGCCGTGGGGCTGACGTGGGATGCGACGTGGGTGCCGACGTGCGTGTGACGTTGGATGCCGGACGTGGGCCGACGTTAGATGGCGACGTGGGTGCGACGTGGGGCGGAGTGGCGCGACGGGTGCTGACGTGAGTGCTGAGTGCGTGCTGACGTGCCGTGCTGGACGTAGTGCCGACGGGGGTGCTCGACGGGGTGCCAGGTAGATGCCGCGTGGGTGCCGCGTGGGTGCCGACGGTGGATGCCGGAGTGGGATGCCGACGTGGTGCCGAGGTGGATGCGACGTGGGTGCCGACGTGGGATGGCGAGTGGATGCGACGTTAGATGCGACGTGCGGCTGCGCAGTGGGTGCGACGGGGGCACCGCGGCGGCGCGGCGGGGACGGGCGGCCGGCGCGTGGCGGGCCGCGCGCCGGGCGGCGGCCGGCGCCGGCGGCGGGGCGCGGCGGCGGCGAGCGGGCGGGGCGGGGCGCGCGGCGCCGCCCCGGGGGGGGCCGGGCGGGCGCCGGGCCGGCGGGCGCGGGGCCGGGGCGCGCCGGCGGCGGCCGGGGGGAGGCTGCCGACGTGCGTGGCTGACGTGGGTGCGACGTGGTGCTGAGTGGTGCGCGGTGGATGCCGAGTGGATGCCGACGTGGTGCCGACGGGATGCGGTGGATGCGACGTGGATGCCGAAGTGGCGGATGCGACGGGGGTGCGCGTGCGTGCCGAGTGGGTGCCGACGTGCGTGCTGACGTGGATGCGACGGGGTGGCCGACGTTGGATGCGACGTGGTGCCGACGTGGCGTGCCGGCGTGCGTGCGAGTGGTGCTGCGTGGATGCGACGTAGATGCCGACGTGCGTGCCGGACGTGGTGCCGACCGTGGTGCCGACGTGGCGTGTTGCGTGATGCGAGTAGATGCCGACGTGGGTGCCGACGTGGTGCTGACGTGGGTGCCGACGTGGGTGCTGACGGTGCGTGCCGACGTGAGATGGCCGACGTTGGATGCGACGGGATGCGACGTGGATGCGACGTGGATGGCCGCGTGCGTGCCGACGTGGGGTGCGCGTGCGTGCTGACGTGGGCATGCGACGTGGATGCGACGTGGATGCCGACGTGGGTGCTGACGTGCGATGCTGACGTGGGTGCCGACGTGGATGCCGACGTGGATGCCGACGTGGGTGCCGACGTGGGTATCGGTGGCGACGCGGAATTTTGCGCGATTACTAGCGATGACGTAACAACAGATCGCAGACGAC